TCTGGTTGGTATTCTGGCCATTAAAAAAATAGTGGCCATTACAATGGCCAGAAGTGACTTTTCAAAGGGGTCTGAGGGGTGAAAAAAACAGAGTTAAAGTGAAATGAAAAATTATTATAACCTCCTCACTAGCCTAAAAGTATGAATAAATATTCAAAAGTTGTGAAAATTAAATCTTTCCGAAACGTGACGGAATTTCCGAAAGTTATCCGGACGCTGTTTCTAGTAATCCATTAAATTCAAATTTACTTAAGGTAGAAGCCTACTCCTAAATGCAAATAACCAGAATTTATTCATTTTGCAATAAATTGAACTCCCGGGCAATATAAGGATAATGACTTCAAAAAAATGTGGGGGTCACCAGCCTAATTTTTGAGAAAATAATGGTTGTATTTTTATGGATAGTAGTTATTGTTGTATAATATTCAAAATTCCAAATATACATGTAACTTGTTATCGGTTGTCATGGCTCCTATTTACTACTACTACTAGGCCATTTTGTCAGTAGTATAATGCTTTTACCATAGGTTCATATGGCAGAAATGTTATGCCATATTTCAAAATTAGGATGGTGACATAGGCTGAAAAAATTCTATGATGTGAATGATGGTGAGTTTTAAAAAGTGTCAAAAAATGCAATTTTTCTTGCGTTCTACAGAAATATTAGGACAAGTTTCCCATAATACGTAATGAACATTATCATGCAATTTATGCACTTAAACAATTTTCAAAAATTGTTTATCTTATTGACATTTATCTTTATTGTTATTTGCATTTATTCTTCTTTAAATTTCACTGAAGTACACCACATTATACGCTTGACTATACTGTTTTATTTATTTTTTTTTCAGTTAGTGGATAAATTGGCTGCCCATCTTTCTCGGTATTTGAAAAGGGAAGCCAAAATAAAGGCAACAAATATTGCGACAGAATTTGTTGGATGTCAGATACGCCAATCAAAACAGCTGTTACAGTTGCTATGGACAATGTTTGGAGTTGAATCAAAGGATGAGTGTGGTGCTACGATTGGGTATAGAACACTGTGAGTTCAACTGATTTTGAATTTTTATACCTCTCAATCTTTGTTTTGACTCCTGCTTTAAATTAATTTTTACCAACTTTCAGGTTTTCCACTGATATCTTGGAAACAAAACATTGCATTTCAATGAAACTTGGAACATGGGACTGTTTAAATTTTTTGGTTGAAACCTGATAATAATAGCTTTTCAATAGGTATCTCAATAACAATCAATAGAATTTGAACAGTTTGTCCCTACATAATGTCTATATGTGACTCAATTCAGAAACACTTTAATCAAAAAAGATATTAGATATTCTCATTTGGATGAGTATACTATATTACATCAGTGGTCAATAGTTTCTTAGAAATAATTCAATTTCACAACACTCTATAATTGAGACACATGGTAAAGCTATAATAGATAAGTGTCTGAGGTATAGTGCTACACATTTTGTATAATTGACAATTTTGAGATAAAGGCATGTGTTTTTAAAGACTAAAAAAGTGTTGGTATTCATTGTATAAATACATCTATAAATACAGGTAAACTTTACAATGATCTAAATGACTAATTGAAATCAACATTTTAGAGCTTTGAAACTAATATTACTTTATAAACACCCAAAACATATTGTTGTCAATGAACTGTACAAATATTTGCTTCTTTTTTTTTCAGGAAAAGGGATTCCTCAGAATCTGATTATATTCTATTCCAAGTAATTGAAAGATACTACTATGTATCAGAGGAGCTATGTTATCCACAACCACCAGGTAAATATAATAAAGATCTAGTTATATTATTACACTCATAACAATATAATTAAACTTGTAGAATTTTGCTGATTTAATTCTCCATTCACTACATTTTTATCTTGTCTGTATCACCAAAGATGGAAGGGAAAGGTATATTAAGGGGAAAATGTCTATCCGGCGTTTTTGTCGACGTCGTTGTTAATAATTGTTAATGTGTGCACAATAATTTTACTAATTCTATTCCAAACTTTATCAAACTTGGTCACCTAATTCATCAATTCGAACGACAGATATCCTGTGTAAAAATATCATGCAAAAATTGAGAAAATCTGATAAAATATTTTGACTGTTTCTACTTGACTGATCACTGGTGATACACCTTCAAAGGTCACTGATCCCAGTGGGAAATATGCGTTGTTGTATGTGTTCAATGAAGCAAATCATTTATAATATCATTGGTAATGTACATGTATCTCCCAAATCCCATAAGATTATCCTGGACCAGTCTCTCAGCAAAATTGCCACAAGACAGCATTGTCTAACTGCTACCTCAAAAAATAAAACTGTAAACTGCAAAATTGGATATAAAACAAAAAATCAAGAAATAAGTACTGACTTTAAAATGATAACATTAGCATATTAATGCGAGTGAACAGTAGAAGCTATTGGTTAGTCATTGTAGCTGTAAGCTACATAAAAGTAATCGTGTTATCGATAGAAGCTGCAACTACCAGAAGTGACACTGAGGGCAGTGGAAGCAGTCCTAATATAGGAACAGCGCAGATTGTAACTACAATGTGTTTGGTTATTGAATATTAATGCTTAAATACATACAAATAAGTAACAATAATATCAAAATACAGCCATTAAAATACATGGAAGCAAAATTTTAGCGGAGAAAAAGTTTTTGATATAACTATACAAAGACACTATATGAAACATCATTGTTATAGATTGTGAATATTTTTACTATATTAAATAAATATATCCTTTGATCAATTTTCAGGATTCAAAACATTCTTTGCTATTATTGGTTATAACAGCCTTAGCCAGCAGATGCTTCTACAATATTTGGATTCTGGGGTGTTAGAACTCACTCCCGAGTTTATAGCATTATTTATTGATTCATTGCATGAAGGACAGGGAGATGTTGACTGTGACAAGTTGAAGTTTCAAATAATAAATAGACTTCCTCAGGTAAAGTCCTTTGTCCGTACTTATGTTATTGTTATAATTAATTATGTTTTTTTTAGCTCCACTGTTGACTTTGTTGAGCAGAGCTTATCATATGAGTGATTGTCTGTTGTCATTTGCATCAACTTTTTACGACGACTTCTTGAAAACTACAAGCCTGATTGCTTTGATACTTGGTGTATATGTACCTTGGGTAGACCTGATTTAGATTTCATGATGATTTCTCTAATTTTGATGAATATTTTTGGTAAAAAGTGATATTTTTGGCAACAACAGATGAACCTCTCTCAGATTGGCCCATTTCGTGATGATATGCATTCTAACTGCTGAGCTATCTCAGCCGAGGACTGCCTGTTTGTTCTGTTCATTTTGTCCCAGGTGAAACAACTGCAACAGTGCATTGCTTGTTTTATTCTGCTTGTATGTATCTTATTGCAATTGTATTTTTTTTCATAAAACAACCCAGTGTCTTTATACAAACCATTTAAATATGTAGCTAAATAAGCAATGACGCCCCTAAAATACTGCTCATGTATAAAAATTTCCATTTTGTATATTTGTCATTATCTTCCCTTGTTGCAACATTCACTTGCAGATAGTATTGAATTTGACATGCACATTTGTGAATTTGTATTTCTTCATTGATAATAAATAGAAATATAAAACAATAAAATATTTACTCTGGTTTATTATGTGGACAGTTTCTATTGGGAAATTCAATGCAAGCTAAATAAATGTCAGTGTAGCTGTCTTCAATGTGCTTCTATTTACTGATAGTTAAAGGAGAGCTAGATGGATGCTAATAGCCTGTTTGGGTCAAGGTTCTAGTGCATTTACGGTACAGTAACTGTGACCTCAAACAGGCCATTGGTACTGTTAGCATCAGAGTTGCCATAATTTGATGAGTTTCGGGTGGTTTCCTTGCAGCCCCATCACAGATTGTGTGATTAACTGAGGTTAAACGCTAGGTTTTCTTTTTGATTGTTTTTAGCTGTTGACAAATTGTTAGATTTTTTCAGTTTAAATTTTATATAACCACTTTTGTTTTCCATGCATAATGATACATATTACATAAATAGTATTAAAATAAATAATTTGTGCATTTGACAGGAATCAATGGTGACAGCATTACAACACTGGGATCACCCTATGGCATCAAGATACCTATCACAGCAGTATGTAACATCAACTCTATTTGAAGGTAATTGGAGCAAACATGTGTCTTTTAGTTACTACAATCTCTGCTCTAACCCTAGTGCAATTCAAGACACTACCGTAATATATGCTAACTTTAAAAAAAACACCAGATTCATATTCATTCTCCTATATGATATTAATGGAGCAAATATGGTGAAGTTAGGCTTACAGTGTTGTTTCCGAACCTACCGGTATATGATTACTGAGAAACTTTGTGGTTGCCAAACTTTTTTATCTAAGATAAGATATCAAATATTAGTAGCTTCATCTACCACTGCCATGAACTAAAGCCATATGTAGGTTTTGAAATATTTCTGAATTGGATTGCAGATGACAGTCCAGATATTGATGATTGGGAAAAGCTACCAGCTTCCTATATTCCACCATTGACCAGTGATTCACTTCAGAGTTCATTGAGTCAACATAGTGGTAAGTTTCATCAACATTCTATGGCAGTGGCAACATTGCAATTCATCTAAGCTACAGGTATGTAGAGATATGTGAAGCTGTCATAGCTCATAGCAAGGTTGATTTTACCTGGCATAGTTAAAATTATATACATTATATTTATCATACTTCATAAACAACAAAATAGTTGTTTTCATTGGTAAAAACATCACTGAATGCATTTTAAGAATATGAAGTTTTGTTGCATGAAGATATTGAAAAATCAATACTAAGAAAATGTACTTATTTATTTATTGATTATATCTTTCAGAAGAAAGTATTCACGAAAGCTCACCAGCATCATCTTTTCCCCCATTAACTACATTGGTCAAACTTCTTGAAAAAAAAGGTATTATAGACTTTTATACTTTTGCTTCTGGTTACAAAATATTGCTGACAATAAAGACTTTATTAAAGTCTGATCTGAATGTTAGTCTCTTGATGGGATTCCTTTGTTCATATGTAATCATTATGAAAGTTTTATAAAAGAGCACATGTCAATGAATGTGTGGCCTTTCACCTTTATGTGTCTGTACTGGGAATATAATTTCGTGACATTGCAATGTAAACATAGTTATTGATGAATGCATTTGAATGTGAACATGATCTTCTGTATACATTACTTTTCAGAATTTGGCATGACATCTTGCTTTATATGTTTTTATAATTTATCTTACAGCATTTGAAGGGCCTAGAACAGTGATGCCAATTACAACTGAGCGCAAGATTGATTCTCAATATGTAGAAGAAAATGCTTTGTATTATACAGTTAAGCAATGTGGGGATAATCTGAAAAAAGTGACATTTTAGATAATATTGTATATTCATCTTAAATAACATTACATATCATTTACACATATGTGACCTAGTTACAATACATATATGTATGTGCAATCATGTACAAATTTTTTTAAGATTGATTCTGCAATTGATTTTTATATAAAGGCATGTTTTCCAATAAGTAGATTGGTTTTATTTATTGGTTGCTGCATGGGGTTGGAGATACTCCACAGACCTGATGTGTGTGGGTATTAATTATCTAATTTCTAATAATAATTTTAGTCCCCGTAGGACAAAGTACATAACTGTGGACTTATGTCCATGCATTCGTCCGTCATCATGGTGGGTTTACTGATGCATATCATTTTGTTTTGCAATTTTATTTAAAATGGCACTGGTGATCTGTCTCTTCCTCAATTGATATTCTTCCAGATTTGGTTTAAATTTGATTTAAAAGAAATAAATAATGGGTTGAAACATGTTTTCAGTTATTTTTGAATTTCAGTAAAATTTAGTAAAATAAAACTACAAAATTTGAACATCAACCATGCCTTTGCAAATTTCATAATTATCTTGGTATGAACACTTATAGTGGGTTACTGCCTTTTAGTTTGTGATTTGATATATCTAAGAATTGACAAGGACAAAACATAATAGATTGGATGTTGGCTTCAGTTGTTTTTAGATTTTGATAAAATTTAGTAACTCGCAGACATATAAAAATAAAAAATTTAATAAAAAAAATTTGAACATTACATTCAAACTTGGTATGAACATCAAACTCATAGGCTGTTGACATAGGAAGTAAAGTAAGCAAATAACACCGAATAAACGGCAAGGTAAAGACTATGTCTATGTCTATGTCTATGTCTCAGGGATGGACTCGTACAAGTCGGTTTGTTTTGATAATTTGATTCAAAATGGTTGCCATGTTGGTGTTATTTTCTTGTTTCTTGTTGGGTACAATTTTTGATAGACATTATGAAAGGAACATTGGCACATTGATTTACTTTACTTTTGGTGCCCTTTAAGAGACTGGTCATTATTTTTATGAAATCATTTTATCTTTTGATTTGTTGAAACTAATCGAAACGTATGTGAGGCATCATCTTTTTTGCAATCAATGAAAGCCGCGATGTGAAGTTGACCTTATTTCTCTGCTGAGAACTGTCTTGACAATTATTAATGAAATATTTCCATCCAGAGCATTTATTCAACATTCGCAATACATATGCACACTGAAACAATAATTATTATAAGACAAATTTGATTATCCCACTCACTCCATAAGGACACTTGCATAAATTGTAATTCATAATTAAAATCAGTTCAAATATCCAAATCACATACATGTAACATTTAAAGTTATAAATGATATAATTTGTCAAATTGCCTGCTGGTTTTAACTTCTATACATTTCCACTCACAGAAAAGAATATATCACCAAATTTCATTAAAATCAGCATTTCAACCATAAAACATACAGTGAATAATTTTTATACTTTCGCAAATTTCAAGTGGTGACATAAAATTGTATCTTCCAACAAACAAAACATGTTTGAGATTACCTATTTATTCCATATTGAATAATATATTTTCTGATTCTAAAACAAATTGAAAAAAAAAATATGTTAGACCCATTACAGCTGTTACACAAGAAACCTGTATTAAATGCATATAAATGGGTTATATGAATTAGTTTATTTTCTGAATACACTTTGAAACACAGAGACTATGACAGATTTAAATTCTTAACAAATTGTTTATCATCTGAAAGCTTATTAGTTGACTAATTATTATGTTTACAATATGGAAACTGAATATAAACAAAACTAAAATTGTTAATATGCAAATATTTAAAGCTGATGGTCAACGCTTATCTCTGTTTGAAATGAATGACCTGGTCTTCGAAGCTCACTCAGATGTGTGACTATATATTCAAATATTTCTTTGTTTTCAAGACAACTTTAATGTTGAATGATGTCTTGCAGGAATTTGCCTTATTAGTCAACACTGTGAGAACAATCACACTATACATTCAGAAATAAGTGCAAATAATTTATTCCACTGTACAATATATAGCAAGATATTGGAAATGTGCGTGGACAGTTTCCATAACTTTCAGTGGCATTTTCGTTTCAACGTTGGTCATCATCAGGTGAACCCTTAGATTATATTTATTTATGTTGAATGATCGGTTTGATTTTTCTTTATTGTTTCTTTTTGTCAATGTGGTAATAAATTAGGAAAACGACAATTAGTATTATGGCAACACCTAACAAGCACCCAATGACGATGAGAAGATCTCTCAACCAGCTAACCCCTAATTTGGAATGGGAACAATCGTGTTTTGAGCGATGTCAGATAACTCCCCTTAGTTACCAACAATGTCTATGGCTCGTACAGCAAAGTAGTATGGAGTACCAGTTCCCTTAGTTGGCATCAACACAATGTAAGTCTCTGGTGAACCAGAAGGCAGAAGTGAAGATATATTTCCCTGAATAAGGTCAGCGTTGGTGAATAGATTTGTCTCTTCAAAGTTGTTTGAAACTT